TCCAGAGCAGAGCTGCTGCAGCCCTCACAGCATCTCCATGGCCTCCTCTGCACTTGGTTCAACAGCTCCGTGTCCCTCCTGTGCTGTTGCCCCAGAGCTGGCTCAGGACTGCAGGGTGGTCTCCCCAGAGCACAGCAGAGGGGGAGAATCCCCTCCCTTGACCTGCTGGGCCGATGTTCACCTGTGTCTCTTGCAGGCTGTGGTGTCAGTCTCTTCTGCTGACTGCCCTTGATTCTGGGTCCTGACAAATGCTTGGGCTGGATGAAGGCCAAAGTCATCCAGGCAAAGCCTGTTTTGGTGTAGTCAGCACAGAGAGAGATATGTGAAATTAAAGCTGCTGTTTGCAGGGTGTGCAAGAAATAAAGGTATTTATAGCACAGAACTATTAATGTGAAAGCAGAGTCCAAGTCTTTCAAAGAGTGTGGTTTGACAACCTTGGGCAAGTTCAGTCATCCCCCTGCTTTTGAGGAAAAGGTCCGTAATAAATCTGACACTCTTACACATTAGTCTAAAAGTCTGTAGGTGACAGTGGAGCTTGTGTTAGGAGCATCCATGCCATGTGGGTTGCTGATGGGGTAGCTGCTGCTGTCAGTAGCTGAGCTATGATTATGCACGAGGAAATTCATATGTAATGGTTCCTGTTTGTCTTCCACACTTGCTGCAGAATTTGCTGAGTGTTTGGGTTACTATGAGACTTTGGTTGTCTTTGATAAAATCATACACAGTAAGTGTTAGGTGTGGTCTCATCCCTGCCCTGATTGATTTACTTCCTCTGAGCTCACAAGTGATGCTAGGTTTGTTACCAGTGTTACCTACAGGATATAAAAAAATTCCATTCTGAAGAAGTAATTCTATCAACTAAGGCATGGTAGAAAGGGGATTAGGAAGGGCACATCCCGATCACTGAATGACCAGCCTGATTATAGCTTGCTGCAAACCAAATTGGAGAGTGCTCTCCAGAAGCTTGTGCATAGCTTCAGAGGAGAAGGGTTTGGGAGCACTGAGGCGGGATGCTTGACTTCTGCAGCTGGGGACTGGTTTTGTTCTTTGTCAGATGAGGACTTTCGTGGGGAGCTATGACTATTTGGGAGCTCTGACTTACCCTTCTGCAGACTCTAGTGGTCCTGTTTTGTTAAAGTGCTAAGGGAAGATGGATGATGAGTGAGAGCACTTTCAGTCTTGCTTAACCAGCCTAACCGGAGAAAGCAAAGTAGATTTTATTTGGAAGTGTTTGGTTCATGCTTAATCATTTTATCAGTGCTATTTGTATCACTGATACCATCAGAGACCATTGCTTATTGTATTGATCACATCATTGCACTGACACTTTATTCTCTTTGCATATTTCTTGTCACCCGGAGTCTCATTTTGCTGTGGCTTCAAAAGCCCTTCAGGGAAGGATGGCTTGTCCCTTACAAACCGCCTTTGTCCAGTGCAGAAGAGGTGGTGATTTCATCAGGAACCACAATGAAAATAACTGTGTAATCATCTAAATAGCACCTGGACACCACTGACAGCATGTTTAAAAAAATGTAACTACCAGTTTACGTACAGTATTTAATGCACAGCACCAGACCATAAGGTTGGAATCAACAGCAGCCTTCAGGCATACAGTCTGAGGTTACTAAAGAAGCCAAGAGCCAGGCTGTCTTATGGGATACATCGCAAGAGAATGAAACAGTGGTTTTAAACTGAGAGTGGGTTCTGACATGATGTGGGGTTAACTCCCTGTGAGGATGGTCAGGCACTGAAGCAGGAGCCTGGAAAGGCTGTAGAGCTGCCAGCTTTGGAGGTTTTCAAAAGCCAACTGGGCAGCATGATCCAAATTTGATCCTGACTGTGCTTTGAGCAGGAGGGTGGATTGGAGACTTCCTAAGGTCATTTCCAGCTCAAATGATCCCAACTTCTTTGTTTTGATATGATAAAAATTACTTGCTTTAATACATTAGTATTCTGGGTGGAATAACAATTTGTTGACTTCCTACAAGCATACCAGTATGTGCCAACAGCAGATTTTGAATTTCAGAAATTGTTTAAAAGGATCAGAACATATTGTTTCTCGTGTTTGTATGTTGAAGAGCTGTGCAGTCAGGGAAAGAAAAAGTTCAAAAATACAAAATATGTTTGTTCCAAAATGTAAGGCATTGTTAGTCAAAGATAGTAAGTGAAAATGTGCTTTTCCTCTTGCATGTCTTACAGGTTTGCAGATTGGCTTTGCAGGTGGAGGGCTGCAAAGCTGAAATAGAATAAGTTAGAGGCACTCTATGGATTGGCACTGAAATTTATGCTAATAAATGACAGGTTAAATATATGAGGGACCACAGGAAACCTGGAGAGGGGCTTTGGACAAGGGCCTGCAGGGACAGGACAAGGGGAATGGCTTTAACCTGCCACGACAGGGGAGACTGAGATGAGTTCTTAGGCAGAAGCTCCTCCCTGTGAGGGTGCTGATGCGCTGGCACAGGGTGCCCAGAGAAGCTGTGGCTGCCCCATCCCTGGCAGTGTTCAAGGCCAGATTGGACACCGGGGCTTGGAGCAACCTGCTCTAATGGAAGGTGGGGTTGGAATTGGATGGGCTTTAAGGTCCCTTCCACCACAAACAGTTCTGTTAGTCTTTGATTTACTTGAATCAGGTGCGATTTGCAAATGTGTGTACAGTAAATTGGTTTACTTTAATTTTTGTGCTGTTTCTTAAGACTGCTTACAGTTTGCAGGGATGAGGGAGCATTTCTCTACACTGTAGGGAATGAAAGGTATATCTCCTATTCCCTCTGTCCCCAAAAAATCATGAATGAGCTGGTGTCACTGGAGCAAGATTCTCCTTCCTTGGGACATGATCCTGTTGTGTTTGTGCAGCTACTGACAGAAGACGGTGGTTGTTACCCAGTGTCATATGAATTGCTTGGCAGCCTTCTGTGATAAATAGCTTGGAGCAATCCTTGTCTCTGACAGTGTCCTTTATTTACAGTGGTACTGATTGTGAGGTAAGACTCACAGTAGGGCTTCTTGAGGTACTGCAGCTTTATTTTTTAATCAACAAAAATGGATCATGTAATGCCTGTATCATACTTGGTCAGTCCTGTGATTCCTCACCTTTAGCATACATTTTTAGATGATGTTTATATAGTGGGTGTCATAGGCGATTGCAAACATTGCAGGTAAATCAGGGCTGCCTGGCAGGGATTCCACCTGATATGTGCCCAGCAGCAGGGCTGTTGGTTTGGGTTTTGGACAAATAGCTTCAGGTTGGCAAGTGCTTTTGAAGGCACGGTCCCTTGAAAACACTTGTGGTAATCATCAAATCATTATGGAACGGTTTGTGTTGAAGGGACCTTAAAGCTCACCCAGTTCCAACCCCTGCCATGGCCAGGGACACCTTCCACTAGAGCAGGTTGCTCCAAGCCCCTGTGTCCAACCTGGCCTTGAACACTGCCAGGGATGGGGCAGCCACAGCTTCTCTGGGCACCCTGTGCCAGCGCCTCAGCACCCTCACAGGGAACAGCTTCTGCCTAAGATCTAATCCAAGTCCCCTACATGCCTGTACGCTAGAACCTGCCTTCGTTTGTCTCTGTTTTTTCTGTTCTTGTAAGTAATGTTTCAGACTGAAATTAACTGTGTTGCAATGATTAAAAACTGTTCATGTAAATAGATTGTATTTGCACAATGGGGAGCTGCTATGGTCATCAAGAGGAATCTGCGTGCCCACCAGTTTTGAGTCTAGGGGCAATGCAGTAAAACAAGGGAGAATGTTGATAGCTGAGCTGTGGAGGTATTTAGGGATTGGGGCTGTTTATGGTAGGGTTTAGTAGAATGTGGGTGATGGGAAGGCTCCTGGTCCTCCCATACACCATCTTGTGCTTGGTTTTCATTGGCCCTTTTCTGTTAGCTGAAAGTTTCAACCAACCTACTCATTTGTTTAAACTTTTCCCATGTTTTGTGTTGTGGTTTTGAAGGCTGTGGTCCTTTCCCATAGGTTCAGGTGGTGACTCTACTTACAGAAGGGAAAAGAAACACCACCTGTCTTCTTTCTGGTTTTCCTCCTGGTTAGAAGTGCTGGTGGAAGCTCTGGCATTTTGGTTTTTTGTATGCTTGACCTTCATATTACTCAGGTGTTGTTCCTGTTTAAATTGGACGCTGTACTTACAGTAAGAGGTTTCAGAAGCAGAGGGGTTGGGTGTAACACCGGGGCGACTGGCTGAGCAATGCCTTTTACTCCCTGCTGAGCTATCTTGGATTTCACTGGGCAGACTGCTCCCAGGTGTGGGGTACAGAGCCTGAGCTCATTTTACATGTTTCTCTGTAAGACTGAACAGCTTTGCCTGGGATGAAACACAGAATATTGAGAAATGTCACCGTATAGGCTGTTGTAGTGCTTCCAGCTGAGCTGAAATGAGGAAGCACTGTAGATCTCCTGGGAGGCCGGTTCTTGGCAGGTTTCCACTCTGGAGAGGCTTGGACTTGAATGCGGATGTCTGGAGACTTTGAGTTAGTGCGTTTTCTCAGGTTCCTTGCTCCCACCCCAGCATCCAGCATTTCAGCCTTAGCTGTGCATAGTCATGCTCAACATCAGCGTGTACTTGAGTGCTGTGCCCATGGAAAGATGGCACATAATGTGTTTGCTGTTGGTCAGATTAATTCATCAATAAAAATAAGCTGCACCACAAAGGGGGGCGGGGGGAAGGAGGAAGAGCAAACCCTGCCTTTCATAAACAAATCTTGCTGTTTCCTCTCTATCCATACAAATAGTAATTAAAGAAATGCAAAGTGCTGTGAAACACAACTCCTGGCTGAGGGTAGTGCCCACACGAGGGTGTATTACCTGGCTGTGAAGCATAACAAATTATGGGAGGCAGGGCCATTACTTGCAATAGGGAATTAACTCCTACAGATGTGTTTACAGTCTTGCCGAGTCAAGTCTCCATATTTCATGCCCTGCTTAACAAGTGTGTTTCGTGTGGAATTGTGCAGCTTTTATTTCACTGCTGTGTTCCCCTTTGCAGGCTGAAGCAAGACTCGCAGCAAAGCGAGCGGCACGGGCAGAGGCACGGGAGATCCGGATGAGGGAATTGGAGAGGCAGCAGAAAGAGGTATGGTCAAGGCTTTTGGGGAGGTGTTTTGGTCATTTCTTTCTGAAGTATAATCCGAGATCATGGAACAAAAGGTTGATCTGTATTTTGTTGAAGCATTAATAGTCTGCTGATGTTGATCATCACAGAAGAGCAAATAAACGAGCCTGGAAAAAAATATGGATTGTGGCAAGAATTTTATCATGGTGAAGCCAGTATAATTATTCACTGGTGGTTAGTTAGGAATCAAAGTCTAATAGTAAATCTCAAAGTATGCAGCTTGTCTGTGTGTGCATTGGGGGGGGTAGGTTCTTATCAGTTCATTTGAAGTCTGGTTCATGTGGTAGACTTGGCCTTGTGTGGATTTCCTTGTAACCCGTTTTGCTTCATTGTCGTGAATTTGCCATTGTGGTCTCCCCTGTTTTGTGAAAACGGTGGTCTCCTGTTGGCAGAAATAATGGTAGAAACCGAACTTGGCAAAACATTTGGATTAAATGCCTGGTGTAGTCTTTCCAAAATTCTGTAAGAGCTGGTTATTTTATACCAGCGGCAAAGTTACTGTGCCTCTGCATGTCAGTGTGTGGGATATTATGGGCTTCCCTTGTCAGAATGAGTTTAAAGACCAAAAAGGCTTATTCTGCTCCTGCTGCATTTGACAGGTTAGGAGCTGTGCTAAATGTTCTGTCACTACAAGAAGCTGAGACCAGCATTTGGTTTGAACCTCTAGAAGCTAAACTAGTGCTATTAGACTGGGGGTCCAAGCATGGGTTGGTGCAGGTGGGCTGAAGCAGGAGGACTGGTTTAGAGCGAGGTGTCCCTGCCCATGGCAGGGGGGTTGGAACTTGATGATCTTAAGGTCCTTTCCAACCCTAACTATTCTATGACTTAAAACCGGTATTTGTTGATGTGTCTTTAATGAGGACAGCAGAGTAGGCAGAACAGAGTCAATAGTAATTAATACCTTTATTTGTTTTCAATTTAATTTTGAAGGAAAAGGAAGAAGTAAGGAGTTTGGGAACAGGGTGTTGGAATAGGTAGTAAGAATAAATATACATCCATGCTTTAGAGTGCAGAGAAGGACTTAGTTTAGCGTTTAAACAGTGAATGGAGATGTGATAGCAGACTAGAGTTGGTGGAGGCTGCAGCAATGCCTGCAAAGGAAGCACTTGGGCAGTTTGCCTATGCTCAGCTTTGTGCTGAAGCATTTTGTCTAGTTGAGGCATGTCTCAATGTGTCTTAGCAGCCTGTAACCACAGCAGTGTTATAGGTTAGATGTACGTGCAAATACACCAGGAGTAAGAGCTGCAGGAGAGCATTGCTGCAAGCACAGTGCTTGAAGTATGTTTTCTTGCAACCTGGACCACAGTCAGAAGGCCTGGACTGCAAATAGATGTTGATACTGTCAAGCTGCCTGCTGTGCCTGTGGCCTGAGTGATGGGACTTGCCGAACAGCCTTTGGCAGAGCTGTGGTAAACAACCAATAGATGCTGTGTTTGGGCAGCAAAGTAAATACGGGTGCCATGGCAGCTGACAGTGGTTTTACCATCTAATTTGCAGATAGCTGTAATGGAACTGATGACCCCTTTGAAGATTAAAAGCTGCTGCTGCAAAGGGTGTTATAATAAGTTGAAAACTAGCACTTGTCTGAATGGTCCTGCAGTTACTAACTGAAGAGTGGTGATCTGAAACTGAAAATTTGGATAGATAAAACCTGAATCCTACAGGGTGTTGCTCTGAAATACCAGATTTAGTGAAAGTGAAGCCAGCTCTCCACTACAATTTGGTTTGTAATTCACTGGCATAATGTGGTTTCACATTTGTTTAATATTTTGCAAGCTTGGCTATTCTGTAGCTTTTTCAAAGAGCATAAAATGCTCTTTGAAATGTCAGCCCCATATGCGAGGGGGAGCCTGTAAGAGTGCCTGCAGGAAGTTTATCATGGCCATGGGTGTCTTGCAGATATAATAAAAGATAACTTAAATACAGAAAATTCCAAGCAGGGATCAACACAAGAGAGCTGGCACCTCCCCCTGACTTGGAGGAGAATGTACCAGGGTACTGGTGTCTGTACAGCTTCTTTTCTGCCATCTTCGTTTTCCTTCTCAAAATTCTCAGAGGAATGAATAGCACATTCCCACTACTGCTGTGTTGTATAACCAGAACCTAAAGCACTTGTTTTACTGCTTCAGAAAGCTTTTTAGGGGCAGTTATGGAAGTTAAAAAGCAATAAATATATTTATTGCATGTGCATGTACTTGCTTATGCTTAAAGCAATGTACATGCCCAAACAAGCTTCTTGTGAAACATGGATTACTTCAGAATATATTTACGTTGCTGGTCTGGGTTAAAAGTTTCCAGATGATACCATTACAAGCTATAACCATGGCAATTTAGCTCTTGCTGCCAGTGAAATAGGGTGTTCTAATAATTTGGATTTGGACTGGAAATTGTCTCCTCTACCTGCCCACTGTCTGGTATTAATGGCAGTTCTTAATCTTCTGCTGCAGGTTCCTCATTTTAAAATAATTGGGTGATTTTTGCGTATTGGGAGTCTACGTCTGTGATTTAGCTAATGTTCTGCTTGCCATTACAGAAAAATAGGGCTTTGAGGGTCTAACCACTATGAGGGTGCTGAGGCACTGGCACAGGGTGCCCAGAGAAGCTGTGGCTGCCCCATCCCTGGCAGTGTTCAAGGCCAGGTTGGACACAGGGGCTTGGAGCAACCTGCTCTAGTGGAAGGTGTCCCTGCCCGTGGCAGGGTTTGGAACTGGATGAGCTTTAAGGCCCCTTCCAACCCAAACCAGTCTGATGAAATACCAGTGTAGAAGCACCAGGTATCTGAGATTTCTGTTCTCTTACATGTAGGTGGAATGAGTAGCACCTTTATTGGAAAGCTATTGAAATGCCCAGTGCTGGTTCTATTGTCTCACCATACGTGAAGAGTACACCACAGATTAGTCACAACTGTGTAGTAAAGCTTATAGGTAAATGGTAAAGATTACACAATATCATACCAAGCTCTTCATTTGGCAGAAATTATTTCATGGGAAGCACATAACTGAGAGCAGAAATTGCTGTGTAGTCTGTTCTTTTGGAAATCTAAAATTATAGTCATCATCAGCCACGCTATGGATAAGCTCCTTTTCATTCAAAAGGCACAATGAGAAGCTCGTGGCAGACAGCTTGGCTTTAGATGATGGTGAGCATGCTTGTATATATTTAGTAGGGAATGAGTTCCTGGTCATGAGACTGTAAAAAAGGCACAGACCTAATAAGCATAACTGCTTGAATGTTTCCGACTTCTTATTCTGTGCTCCTAGCTATTACCCACATTGACATTTGGTTTACAGTTGCAGAGTCTAAAGAGTTGTGCTTCATGCTGAGACAAATGCTTGTCTGCATTCAGATACTTACTGTGAATTCAAGCGAGGTCAGTCTTTTTGAGCAACAAGTTGTTTATCCCCACAGGTTTACCAGGTAAAAAAGAGGAAAATGTTGTGTACTTTTCCTTAGAAGGTTGGTGTAAGGTATATTAAAGCCTTTTTTCCCCCAAGAAATATTTAACAGTAATGTTTCAAGACACTTAAAGCTGCAGCATTAGGGCTAACTGTAGGGAATGTTTTATGTAGGAGTACCTTCTGCTGGCAAGACTTTAAATGTCTTTTTGAGGACTGACACTTGGAGACCATAGTTTAAGCTGATACTAGTACCTGAAGTGAAGAGAGAATGTTCTCCCATTCTTTAACCTTCAGGATAAGATTCTTCCTTGCTAGTTCACACAGTAGATGAGCCTGTACTTCTAGTTCAAGGCAAGTACAATATGTTTATCTCCTAGATTCATTTTTGGCTCTTGCTTTAAGGGCACAGCACAAAACTTGCCTTTGCTATTTTGTAATTTGTTCTTTAGCAGCACACTTCTTTGCGCATTTTTATCTTCCTTGAATTTGTGTTTCTTTGAAATAAAATGTTACCAGCACTTAATGTCATGCATTGCTTTTTTTCCATGTCAGTTCCTCGAGCATGTCATAAATTCAGTAAATACACTAAAGCCAAGTTAATGTGGGCAAAAGACTTGCAGCCAGTTTTGATCTGCTCACCCCTCCTGTTGACTGTGATGTAGGCCCCTTCTTGCCTTGCAGGGATTAGGTACGCACTGATGGGAGGCAGTGGGTCCTGTGGGATTGCTTGAAGCCATTTTAAAATCCAAGGCACTGCAGGAAAAACCAGAGAAAAGCAGGATTCTCATGGCTTGAACGGGAGGGGTGGGGCTGACCATGGAACTTGATGCTTATGTATGCAGGGGACAAGTTAAGGAAGTTTGTAATGGTTAATCTGTATCTTTCTTACACATCCGGTGTGGGTGCACAGGGACATTGGGGGAGGGAGTATGTCGAAGGTGTTTTTAGTAGTTTATGGATTTCTGCCTCCTTCTACTGTCTGCTTCTCTGGCTTGTTCAGTCACTTTGGATCAGAGCTGTTCCAATCCAGTTAGCTAATAGATGACCCTAAAATTTCAGTTTTTATAAAGCACTGGAACAGTTATGATGATGCACTTGGCTTTATCCCTATGTCCCCCTCCACAGTGTCTGGCCGTAAACAAGGGCCTCATTGTTATCTTATCCACTGGCTATCAGGGTGCTGGACACAAGACTTCTTGTGTGTCTCAATGGGAATACTTGCTATGCCAATCCTGAAGCATTGGTGCTTGAAAAATAAGACTTCCATGGTGCTGCCTCAAAGCATGAGTGAAGCAACAACATTGAGAAGTTAAAGCTTAAAGGTTAAACAGCCTAAGGTAATTGCCACATACATCTGAAATGGTTATGTCTGGCTTCTGTGTATGAATGAAAGACACTCTATGTGTGCAACAGAGAAACCGAAGATCAGGGTCTGTATGTAGTCTTGGGAGCTGTGGGTCAGTGGAATTCATTTTCCTCTTCAGGGTTTTCTTAGTAAAAGGTGAGCAATGTGGTGGATTGTGTAGGAATCCTGGTTTTAAGTGTGGGTCCTAATTATCCCCT